TGAACTGGATCTCCTTTCTTCCCATCCCTTCCCCTCCTTCAATTCCTGGGTTAGCCACCCTTACCCAGTTGCAAGTGTAAATCCACATAAGACACATTCATGGTACTTTGGGCTGATCCTCTGCTTGGCTCTTCACTAGGTCTACATGAACGATAAAGCTGTGTTGCTTAGGTGGGAATGGTGTGAAAAAAGGAGAAGGGGAAATTGGAGACTGGTGTTCTTGTTTTGTTACTAAATTTCTGAACAATTACAAGTCTATTAGCTTGGAAAATAAAACCCAATAATACTTTTGTCAGTCTTCATTATTTGCAGGCTCAAAATCACCAAATATTTTAGGTTTTTGAATGTACAGAATTCAAGGAAGCTGTGTCTTCCCACCTGTGGTTTCCTTCTCCCTTGTGCTGCAGATCAGGAATGTAGGTGGGAGGAAAGGTGCAAGTTAGAAGGGAAAAATGAGATAAGCTGGAAAATACTCCGTGCTTTCTCTACCCCAATAGCTGGAGCTAGTCCAGCACCTGTCCCACGTCACCCTACTGCCCCAGGGGCACAGGCAGAGACTGGAAATTATGCTCCTGGATCCTGTCAGTGTGGCAGTGAGAAGAGAGGGTGGCTGAAGGGCCATGTAGTCAACAAGCTCTGTGCTTGCTTACCTACCTGGGGATTTTTACCTCTAGTCATAGCCAGACAGCAGTATTTCACCTGCAGGAGTTAGCCACTTGGTACAGGATTTCCACTTGGATTTGGAGTGTCTGATCTTCTTCATTGAAAAACCGACTAATGAATAGGTACGAAAAACAACCTAAAGTATGTGGTACGAGCCCCCTCTACCCCTGTTCTCTCTGCTGATGAAAAAAGTGTGTGTTCCTTTCAAGATAGCACTAGGTAATGATCAATGCATGCAGATCATTTTGGAATACATGTAACTCGCTCATGCTTACTGCATCAACTCTCAGATTCCCATAATCTTCCTTCCCCAGTTAAAAAAAAAGGGCTGAAAAGGTAATTGCACTTTGTTCAGTTTTTGTGGCGGCTAAAATCCAAACCTGCTGCTGGTCAGTCATCTTGTGCAGAGTTCATCTGTTGCAGCTGTAAGCAACAAAACAAAATGACACACCGTTTTCATGAGTAATAACTGAAATCTCACGTACAGCTCACCTGTGGCTCAGCAGTGGTCAGAAAAAAGCATTAAAAAAAAAAGTGGCTTCACGCATTCTGTGATTTGCCATACATCTGATGCTGCTCGCAGCTGCTGAACTGGTGTGACCATGTAAGTTTTTAAGACTGTGCAGACACCTCTGCAACGTTCATCAAAAAAAGTGTTGTGACTAATAGGAAAAAATACACCTGTTTGCCCTCACCCTGATCTCACTGCCTCGGCACATGTGCGCCATTCTCCTGCTGAGTAGTTGACGCTTTCCAGAGCACTGGAGTTGGGACAGGGAGAAGTTAGCAGGCTGGAGATGGATGGGGAATGGGAAGACCTGTGTTGGGTATGGAAGCTGTGTGGCAGACACGGTATTTTGGCACCTTAGCGGTGAGCAGGAAGGTGGTCTGGACATAAAGGAGGAGTCACCCTTCAGAGCCAGCCCCATTCTCTCCTGCTTTTCTTTTATGTCAGGGGTATAGATGTAATCAGGGTTAGATAGAAAATAGTAAAGTCAGCCTAATGTGCCAGGATAAAAATTGCAGTAATAAAACACAGCTATGGGATCTCTTTTACTCCCAAACCTGAAGACCTACAACTTCAAATTAGTATTAAAAGTATGATAGGCTTTGTATTAAATTTGAGTTGAGTCTGCAGGATCTCTGTGAGTAGACACAAAGGGCCTGATTCAGAAAAGAGCGTGTATCTGCTTCGCTCCATCTCTCTGAAGGAAGCCTTAGTGCTCCAAGTAGGTCATTGAACAGGAAAACCCGTGTGTAGGAGAGGATGCAGAGCAATTTCTGCCTTCCCATGGTTTACAGGTGAGGCATAAAGTTTCAAGCAGTATCAGTGAAAATGTCCCCACCTTTTCTCATGTTGAGGCCTCATTTCATCCCACGAAGCAGCCGTAGACCCAAGGCAGAACACCATTTGCCCTGGTTGGGGACAAAGTATATGTGAAATAAAAATGATAGGGGTGGATTACCACCCACATCTGGAGATTTGATTTTTTTGTCACTGAGTAAGTAAGAGCCACTCCTGGGCTGTACTGTTTGTTGTTTACAGGACAAAAGTTGTTCTTTATTGTTATGCAAAGAGAGGCTGCAAAGCAACAACGTGTTTGGCTACACCCTTTCTAAAAGTCACATTTTAGTTTGAAGAAGGCAGTTAAACAATACTTTGGAACGATGTTCATAGTGAAGTTTAATCATGGAGGAAAAGGAAGGGAAGAATAGGTGATGTTTAATTGGAATAAATCAGGAGGGCCCAGACAGTTGTAGCTGAGAGCAGATGGAGGCAGGAGGGAAAATGGGGCTGGAGGGGAAGGAGGGGCTGGAAGACAGAGGAGTGAGAAAAGTACGAGCTGGAAGTGAGCGGAGAAGTTAGCAGCACATTAAAATTAGATGTTGGAGAGAGATGAGTAAACATGCAAGTCCAGAGCTGGGAATTTTATGTGGAATCTGATGACTCTTATTTCTGCTTCTGCTAATACAGCTTATGTGCCTGCTGTCGATTGATGTTACCCAGCTTGGTGTCCTTTCCCTAGCATCCTTGGAAAACTAAGGAGCTCAGAGGAGTGGAGAGAGGAAGAGGCAGGGCCGAGGAGGAGGAGAAGTGGTTGAGTCCCAGTGTCCTTGAATGGCTCCCATTGGATCTGGAGGGAGAAGCTGGCAGCCTGGCTCTTAATCTTGCTCCTGCGGCAGCGTTTGGCTGTTGGCCAGCATGAGGATGAATCACTGAGGCTGATACAGACTTTCAGCCTTCTTGCAAAAGCTTTTAAACAGTTTTCTGTTTGATATGCACCAGATAAGGCCAGGGCTCCCGCTTGCCTGCATACTCTTCGGATTTCTAACTCTTTCTGAGTTGAGATCACATTAGAAAAAATGACATCCAAACTTAGTTTCTTTGTTACTCTTGTATTAAATTTGCTATACTACTATATTTTCCTCACTGCTGGGATGGGAAATTCACTCTGTAATGTGATACTCAGCTGTGGTATTCTTGCTTCCTACATCACCATGAGTTTTAAGGCTCCTGCCTTCCACACACAGCCTGACAGGGAACCGCGAGACAGCAAATGCTTCACGGCTGGTCGGGTTTCACAGTACCAACAAGAGTAAAGCTGCATTTCCACCGTAAAACACAGGGGCTTCAAAACCACGCAGAGAAAAAGTGCTCTGAGGAAAGGAGATGCCTGTTTTGCACAGTGGTGGAAAGAGGCTTCTGGTTTCACGTTCTCGGTGCATTTTAAACACGGTGGAGGTATAACAATGAGTGGCTGGGCTGTGTGTGGGTCGCTTGCTTGGGTGCCAAAGGAGTGATTGCGCTGCTGGTACCTGCTGCTAGTACACAACGGATGCATCTTTCTATCAAACTTTGGGGCAAGGAGATAATTTTGTACGGGAAGGCCAAACAGGCTTATCTTGGAGAAAGCCATAGGAGGACAAGAAACACATAAAAGCCTAGTAGGGAAGGGAAGGGACAGGAAAAATCTTTATTCCTCAGATTTTATGAGCCCCCATGGATTTTGTAGCAGGGAAGCTGGCGTCGTGTTAGGGATGCATAACTTTGGTCCTTGTCCCGCTCATACATCCCGCTCAGCATTTCCAAGCTGATGGCGGGGCAGAATTGGCTCCTATGTAAAATTACGTTCCGTTGGCCTTTTAGGTGATGACAACTATCTCCATTGATCACGGTATGCGTATGTTAAAGGAAAAAAAATACATTTCTTGTTTTATTATTCTTTGTAAGCCAGCAGCATCAAAGGAACAGGCTGCCCTCATTGCTCTCACAGCTGCTGCCTGTGTCTGTGCTGTATATATGCTAAATTAATTGGAAAAACAGGGACAAAAAGGCATTTAGTTCAGGTCAACCAGTTGGACTACAGCAAATGCATGACAGGCTTAATCATTGTCTATTGCCAAAGAGCAGGTTGGCAAGGGCAGGCACTCCAACCCTTTCTGATGAAATTTGGACTTTTTCCAGTGTCTTTGGAGGCGGGATGCTTTGAGAGAAGGGTCTCCACACAGAGCCCGGATGCTGTCATATTGACAGGGTGGGATGATGGGTCGGGTTATGGCAGGTTATTTATCTTTTGTCAGCTGTGAACTCAGCTTTCAGCCTTGGTTCATCACAGCTTTATACACATAGCCTGAGAAGGCACCACAGCAAGAATGAGGTTGTTAATTAATGTGATCTTGTTAAAGGCATCGGTCTCTGGTGCCATGCTAAAAACAAACATATTCAGCAATCTTTCTTCCTTTGCCATCAAGTTTTCTGCATCTTTCATGGGAAGGGACATCAACAAAAAAAATGCTCCAAAGGACCCAGCTGTCTTAATGGCTTACAAAGTTTGGGTCTTCTGAGATGACTTCTGTGTAATCTTGCAATCTTGGAAAAGTAAGCTAACAAATGAAGGGAGTGGGTGCAGCGTAGCTCTCAAAACTCTTTTTCCAATAGCCACATTGGTTTTGAAGATTTAAATGATTCAGCATCTCAGTATATCTTCCATATTGCGGCAAGAATTAATATGTGATATACAGGGCGCATATTTCACACTAATTAAAGTGATTTTCTGCTGAACTCCATGGGGAGAGGGTACTGAGGGATGTAAAGACTAAACCAAATATAAACTCAGGTTAAAATTGGTCAGAGAAATGTTGTTAATAATGGGTACAGAGAAGAATTCTTTTCCTATCCTTTTTCTTACCAGGCAGTTGACTTTAGTGGAAGTCATTACATGCGCAACCCAGTTGTTATTCTTCAAGAAATGAATGTGTTACCTTTACAGTATTTTTCTTTATTGTATGGATAACCTGGCTGGGTTTTGTTTGTTTTTCTTTCTTTTTTCTTCCAGGCCTTCTGCCTTATCTAGTAGCCCGACATATTCAGAGCTTCCGTTCCTTAGAATTTCCCCACACCGAAATCCTGCTGCAACATCGGAGTCTCCCTTCAGCACCCCTCACCCATACATTAACCCCTACATGGACTACATCAGGTCCTTGCATAGCAGCCCGTCCCTCTCCATGATCTCGGCAGCCCGCGGACTCAGCCCAACAGACGGTGGGTTAAAACAGGCTTCCTGTTTTCTGTCATTGTAGCAACTTAAGTTATATTAATCTTGTCAACATTTTTTCCCCCTTGTTCAAAGCAGCTTCAGCAGGTTTGTCAGACATATTCATTATGTCATAAATGTTTCAATACTTCATCAGCCGATCATGGCTCATTTGTACATCTCACAAACGTTGAAACTTCAGGGAGAATAAAAAAAAAGCCCTGCCTCATTCAAAATTTAAGCTGGAAGGGTGGTGTATGTCTTGTGACATCTTTTGTTTGTGGAGCTGACCTGGGGTGTGATTCTGATCTCCCAAGAAATCAGTTGTATCTGCACTGAATAGAACGAGATTCTTCGTGAGTGTAGATCAGTTTATAACCACGGAGTTCTTCAGGTGCAAAAGGCTTGTTTATTAAAATAGTAGTTTTCCATCACGTATAGTATGCACTGACTTGTTATATTTAGTCAATAGTTCTGTTCAAGTTATGCAGAATTATTTCAGTTTACCCTAGCCAATGATACGGCCAAATGCAATCAGGCTGATGTAGAAGGAGTGGCTAATGATCAGGGTTAGTCCCTTTAGTTTAAATGGTGGGCAGTATACTTGAAGTATCAATGCTTTAGGTCTTGGTGTGACCATGGCTATGACTTCCCAGGTTATTTGGGTTGAAGTGAACTCCTGTGATCACTCTTGTCGTTACTCTGGCACATCTCCTATTCATTTCAATGGGAATTTTGCTGAAGTGAGCAATGAATAGAGTTGCAAAAAGGCTCAGTCTTGTTAGCAGTAGGTTTTTCAATGATAGAGTAAGTAGTTTAACATTTCAAAATTGTAGCATTTGCTGAAGAGAGCTAAAATATAACATATTTGGAAACAAATATGTAGTGAAGATAATTAAGCTATTATATTAACTGTGGGAAAGGTCTTAGCGTATGCAGAAACTTACCAAACAGAGTTAAGCTGCCTTTAGCTGAATTTGAAAAATGAGCGATGCGCCCTATCCAAACGGATAACTAATTAATCCTCGCTTATAAGAACATATACCTTTACAGTTAATCCATTAGTTATGGGCACATATTCTTATGAGAATAAATTTTAATGACCTATTGTCAGTCAAGGTATATGGCATGCACATAGGGCTTCCTTAGCAGCACCTTGGATGTTGTATGAATCCTTGCTAATTCTACCCTTTTTATTTTAGCCAAAGTATTAAATATTTTGAAGGAACAATTTGAATGCTCAGAAATACATGTTTTGGCGCAGGGAGCTTTGGAGCTTTTGATGTAGGATAAACATGATAAAGCTGTAATGTAATGGCATAAATTGGGAAGACTCTTGCAACGTATATTTGGGCTTTTCACAAAAGCTTATATGCAGAACACTTTACTGTCTTTCCTTCAATAATCTTCAGATCCCATTCCTGCAAAATTTCTTTTATACTTAAGGTGTGCTCCTGTTGCACATACAAAGAAAGGAGGGAAGGAAACCATCTATCGCACAACCACGTGGTCTCAGGTCTCTTGGTCTCAGGTACACAACGCTGAATTCATTTACATAGATGTAGGTACGTAGTGCTATGTGGGATACACTGGGGTATCTGACCCAGCACACAACTGACACTCCAGAAGGGCAGAGATTTCCTCGAGGTGCTTTGCCACATTCACCAGTTCAGTGATAATCTCTCTGAAAATCTAGGACGTCTCAGGGTATAATTTGGTTCCAGATTCTGGCACCTAAATTTAGGTCTGTACAGTACAGAAATCTGTCTGTGATCTTGGTGTGCTGTTTTGCCATTATAGTCCAGGGAGTTCTAGGTAGTGCAGTCAGTGGAGCCTTAGAGAACCATTCAGTTCACCCAGATACAGACACTTGCATGTTACCAGCTGAGTCTGGAGGTCCATCATAACTATGAAAGTGCTGAGATTCATCTGTCTACAACATAGGTGTTTGGTGTCAGTTCAGCTCTGTGAAATACCTTGCCTCAACTCCAGCTCCCACCTCAGAAAGGCAGTTTTCTCCTCTATGGAGAAGAACATGTAGCCTCATGTAGGTGCTTTGGATACCCACGGGCTTACAGATGGCATGGGACACTCAGGTGTGGACAATACAGTTGGATACGCTCTGTCTTACCACTCATCCCCTGAGCTTTGATTGCTGACTGTATCTACAACCTTAGCCTTTCATAAGTGCAAGCTCAACTTACTAGCTGAAGCTTCTTTCTTTGGGTTTTAAACAAATGCATGCCACTTCACGTTTCCTCCAGGCTCACAGCTTATCTTTGATCAGTTACCACAGCCCAGGTGTTGTGCAGCACCTCGTGAAAATACAGTAACTTGATTGAGGCACTGGCAATATTTTAGTAAAACACCACGCTTATTGAAAAGCTTTTAAATTTGTTCTCTGGAATTCATAGCTGCTTGTATGATTAGTCAGGTATACAATGAAATGCTTTTTTCAGGTTTAGGTTCCTGGATGAGATAGTCCAAGTCATGACTTGGGCACTACTAGGATGCAAATTAAAAAAAAAAACATTAAAGGGGTACATGCACACAATGTACTAATAACATAATGGACACCGTGGCTTAAGTCGTATAGCGTTTGAACTATGAAAACTTGGAAGTTGTTACTGTTCTTCTGAAAGTCATAGTGAGATTTCTAGTGCTACCCTAATTGCTTTAGGCCAGTTAGATAATTAGGTCAGTGTACTGTTGGGCTCACTCTGTCGACTCACAGATCTGGGGATGGCTGGGAGCCAAAACAATCTGGAACATAACGACGAGCAGTTTCATGTTCGCTACAAGTCTTGCCAGCTGTAATTAATGACAGCCACAGCAGCAGTAATGGTAGGCCGTCTTCTGTCTTGTCACTTCACCTCACCCAACAGAATCGGTGGGCCAGGGGTGGCTGAGGACTCCCCTGAGTAACACAAAGTGGGGGCAGGGGTAAAGACTGAGTTGTCAGTATGTGTAGAGCCGAGCACTCAAGTGCAGCTCAGCAGTGCCCACAATGCAGAAGTAAATGCCTCCCCTTGTAAAAAAAAGCAGGGGCAAAGCTGAAGATACTCAGGAATAAACAGGAGAAAATTCAGGGCTGTGGGCCTTCCCATTTACCCTTCCTTTACCCTTCATGCAATACATCATTTAGTAGGCTAATTTTTTATGTTTGAAGAAGGTAGTAAGGAATGATCTTTAAGGAGCACCAGAGCATTTCTCAGCATATGGAACATTTAGTAATGCAATTATGTGCTCACTATATTTTCTGCAGCAGTTCATTTTAAAGTTTGTAGCCAATGTTATTGTTAGTTAACCCAGACACTTATGTCAGAAAGCTCAGGAAGTATTTTAAGTGTGTCTGGAAAGATATGATGGTTGCCTACTACTGTAAAACTTTTAAAATCGGTGATTCAGTGTGAGTTACTCCTCTTAAAATTTGATCTGAATATTTTTCTTGCCATTTCACAGAAAGTGGTGGTGGCTGAAGTAGATTATACTTAATTGAGAAACCAATTTGTAATTTGGAAAAAATACCAACAACCTTTAATTTATCTCAGCTCATTTTTTATGCGATTCCTGTCCCTGTTTGATGTACTTTTATTTTTCTGAACCTTTCCTGAAATTGGTTATATTTGACATTATAACATCAAAAGCACATTCTTCCATTTTATTTGGTAAAAATAAACTTCAGAAAAAACACACTTTAGAAATCTGTTGCTGAATAAACTTTTCTCCAAACTCCAATGCCATGTTTACCCCCTTTTAGTGTCAATGTTGATTCTTTGCTTCTAAGGTTTGCATTTAGGATCCAATTCTGTAATGTAAATGTAAATTATCCTTTTAGTAATACTGTGTAAGTAACAATATTCAGGTTAAGTTGGTAATTCAAAGAATTTCACCTTAAAATTTTGTTTCCATTCAAGATTCAGTTGCTGGGATAAAAGAAAAATCTCATTAAATAATATGAAATAATATAAAAATAATCTGTTGGGGTGTAGCCCATTAATCTAAGGAACTTAAAGTGTTTTAGGCAAATGTACGTACCATCTTCTGGTGAGCAGAGTGTAAGGAAATTTTAACTGTTTTACAAGCGGGACAAGTAGAGAGCAGAGAGGAAGGCTGCTCAGATCACACAGCAAGTCAGAGTCAGGATCAAGGAGATGGAGCCCACCTTATTTTTGAGTACTTCTCACACAAGCCCATGAAATGACCCTCAATTTATTGTAGCATCTGATGCTTTCTGAGGTGAGATGATATTAAAATTATGTGTATTTTTGTGTTTGTCCAGAGTTGCCCATTAGTTGGTAGCATGCTTGAAAACTGCAGGGGAACAGAAAGCTTGTATATTATTTTTACAGGAGAGAAAGTCATTATCAGAGGACTGCATCGCTCATAATCTCACTGTAAAATGTAGAGCCTATCCGGTCTGTGGTTTTGACTCTGCAAACAGTCTCATGTGTCAAGTACACTTATATATGAACTTTGAAGGATGGAATGGCCACATGCATTGACTTCAGTCTGTCTTCCCCCAAAACTGCCCCTATATTGTTCATGGACAACTAGTATTGGTCCTGAAAACATGTTTTGTCCTTGTTTACTCCTAAACTTATACACAAACTGCCACTGTGAATGAAAATCCTCCGGTCCTCTAAGCAGAGACTCCAGAAACTTGAATGCTTATGGAAGTTCAGCCACGTTGTTACCTTAGAGACGTAGTCCTTTGGGCCAGGAATGAGGTAAATGGGAATAAAACTCTAGGAAGGTTTTCCTGCTTTTTTATGTCACTAAATAAATCATACTGGTTTCCATTGCTGTCAGCCTGTCACTTTTTGAGTCACTGAATAATAAATATAAAAAATATGAGATCACCGAGCTCATTAATATTTTATGCCCTGCTGTTTTTTGAACGGTGTCTTTGCATTATCATTGGTTGAAATATATTGACTGGTGGTGGCATACTGCAGACATTGCATTACATTAAAAAATAAACAAGCTGTTTTAATAGCCAGAGAAACCGGCAGTGTGATAAAACTTTCCTTCTCGTTTATCTTACGTCATTAACGGTGTTTTTTATGTTGTGTTTTTTAGCTCCACATGCTGGCGTCAGTCCAGCTGAGTATTATCATCAGATGGCTCTGTTGGCAGGCCAGCGCAGCCCGTATGCAGACATCATTCCTTCAGCTGCCACTGCAGGAGCTGGTGCTCTTCACATGGAGTATCTTCATGCCATGGATAGTAAGTGACGTTTTCTAGAAATATAGACAGTCCTCTAAAGGGAACCACGTGGGTTGTTCTTGGTCTGACCCAAAAGGCCTCCACGCAGATAGAGAAGTGGGAGTCAATGTAAACCTCCTCATGAGGTTGGAGGGCCAAAGCGTTGATTGCCAAATGTACAAGGGTTACGTCAAGTCTGAAAGTAAACTTTGAAAGAAAGTAGGGAGAGGAACAGGACTGCTCCTGGAAACAGGTTATAAACTTTATTTCCAGCAGGATTTAAGTGCTTTTGAAAATGTCCTTTTGTGTTCACAATCAGTAACTCACTTTGATCATTTGGGTCAGTATTTCCCTGATGAGCTCTTTTAATAAAAGGTTTACGTCTGTTTTTCCACTAGGAGGGCATGCGCCACTCCTTTTTAGAGAGTGGTCACCGTGCTTACGAGTTGTGTGTGATAGATTGATAGACTTTGAGACCACTTCTAAGGTGGAGCAGTTTGCTGAATTCTCAAGGATCCTGACTTAGTTCTCCTTAATATTAAGAGCTTTCTTTACCTACTTCAGCATCGTTCTGACCTGTAATCTGTCTCCCTTTCTCCGTTGAAGGAGGAAAGAGAGCACCCCATTCCAAACTGCTCACTATTGTCGCTTTTGATCAGCCAGAAGGGATTATGCAGAGTACTCCCCTCTAGTCATAAGATGCTTACATGTTTTTTGGGACGTACTCAGTTCCTTCCAACAAGGGAAATAAAAGGTGGTGACAAGAAAAGGTGGTGACTCTTGACTCTTGCTTGGTAGTACAGAGCAATACAATAGCATTAGACCACCTTGTTGTCCTGCAGCTTTTTAAAGTCTTTGTTAGCATGCAGTTTCTTCTTCCCTGCCATTGGCTGCATGCCATAGCTGCTGATCTCAAGCAGTGTGGGAGTTGGGAGGTTCACTCCTGGAACGCTTGGGAATATAGATAGCTACCCCTGCAGAACACATGCCTGAGAGCTTGAATTAGTTGACTGACCAACAGTTTTTACAAGAATCAGGGAAGACAGATGTGGAACTGGGCAGGGAAGCTGCTTTCATTCTCTTACCTTGATAGCAAAGGATTTTTTAATTCAGTTTCTGTTATCAATCTCACTGCACTGGTAGCCTGCGTAGTGGTTTCACAGTAATGTAACATACCTTGAACCCACTTCAGAAACATAATAAACCCACACAAGTAGCCTGGACTTAAACCAGAAATTAACGTGCAGGCTTCAGTGCTTGAAAGCTTAAGAATATGATACTTCCTGATTTTGATTTTGAGAGGAATAGGGAGAGATGAGGTATACTGCTAATGCATTTACTGCATATTAATAATATCTTGCAGAACGGAAACTCTGTTACGTGTGGTTCAGGTAATGTAAATCTGCTGCTATGTTCCAGTTGCAAGGACAAATCCGCAGCTTCTGTGAATGGACATGACTTCATTGAAGTAAAGGGATCATAGAACCATGGAGTAGTTTGGATTGGAAGGGACCTTTAAAAGTCATCTAGTCCAACCCCACTGCCGTGAGCAGGGATATTTTATACTTTCAATGGTTTTGGTTCCTATTGAGACAGAGTTTCTGAAAGCGTGTAGGTAGCAGTACCAAACCACATATTTGGATTCAGAGTTGATTGAATGCATCTGTTCAGTCTATGGGAAGATAGGTACCCAGAGGTATGCCAGAATACTTAAGAAAAACAGAAGACATTGCAGTACTCATAAAAATAATGGCATTTGCACAAAGGACTTTCATGTGTTAGTAGAGATTGTGTATGCTGTAATCTGCACAGAATTACAGCTTTTGCATCCCAAGAATGTTATCACTCCTTACTTAAGTGAAAATGTTTTGACCTTTGGCCATAACTTCAGCCCATTCACAAAAGGTGCCTAAAAACTATCTCTAATAAGGATATTTGCTGTCACCAGCTTTAGCTACGGTATATTTGAAATGCGCTCTTTAATTTGTTTTGTGTTTGTTTTTAAAAATTAAGATCACACATTTGAGATTCATTATAGCAGCAACTTTTCAATTAGGGATTATTTCAGAGTTAAAAACAAAAATTGTGTAGTGCTATTATGCAAATGGGTTATTTTTAAACAGTAAATAGAGAATTAAAATAACAGCGAATCGTAGTGAGGTCACTCAGCTCACCTTCTGTATTTGATGAGAATGTGTTTAGTCAGGCAATAGCTGCTTTTATCTAAATAGAGTATGAAGTTACCCTTTTACTTTGTAAAAACTAATTAAAACTATCTTAACTTGCATGGGTATACAGTAAATTAATTGTCATTAAGTAGGAATCTGAATGTCCTATCATTCATCATGCTAAAGAAAACCCCTTTCTTCTTTGTCAGAATTTTAGATTAGAAACGAGAACAAAACAATTAGCAGGAAGCTGATATTAAGACTTTTTTAAAAAAAAACAATAAGGATGCCCATGTTTGCATTTAATAACAAAGTACAATGATCAATGCAAAGCAATGCCATTTGTTCGGATCTTTCTTCTTAAGGATTTGTATGGTGGTCTTAAAAGTACTCTTTCGCCTTTGCCCAGTCTTGTCAAAGGAAACAGAAGAGAGATTGGTAGTTTCCCTCATTATCTGCTATCAAATTCTGAGCAAGTTAACTCAACTCACTCAAAGGCTGCTGCTCATTTATTCCACGCAACAACCAAATAGATACAAGCAAGACGTTGTTCTTCTGTTGTGAGGCAAGTCTGTCTCCTAATTGTGTGTTTTTACAGCATCTAGCACAGTAATTTGGCATCTCTACCCTCTCCTGTAGTACAAATAATTCCAACACCAGCATGCACTGGGCACAAAAGCATGTTACATACAGTTTTTTGCAGTTTTGGGCCTTTTGTTTTGCTTTGTGGTTCTGGAAAAATGATTTCAAAATGGGGATGATATAAGTGGGGAGAAGCATTAATCAGAAAGTTAAATCTTGTCTAAAGAGCAGTAGACTTCTTGAAGCTCTGAACTTAACTGTCTATGAACTATCTAATAAACTGTGGAAGAAAAAGGCCAAGATTGTGTGTGCCTGGTTGTTATCTTTTCTCATCCTGTCCTGTGTGGCATGAAAAGTGGACCAGAATTTTCTTTGCTGCTTTAAAGCTTTTCTACAATTTTGGTGGCCAGATTCCCTGGCCAAATATTCCTGCCTTCTTGCTTGATCTCAAAGGGTCAGATGTGCTACCTTTAAGTATAACATCAAAGTAATGAGGAAGAAGGGAGTAGATGGGGAACGTATTTACAGTACCACGGTAGCAACAACCGAAACTCCTTGTTGTGGCTGTAAGGATACTGTCAGGATGCCAAAACTATCTTTTATGTACTTAAATAGTTTCAAAAATCACAACCTTTTGGGTTTGATACCTGCATTTTTCATCTGGGGAATGTCTTTTACACTGCTTTTAACTGGTGTTCAGTGGAAGGCAAGCATGTTCCCTGAGGTCTCTAGATTCACCCTGAGAGTATTAATATCCTCACTCTGATTAACTCTTGCCTATGCTTACTGAGAATGGGAGGTTTTTCTCTTTCAAAGGTGTTCAGCATTGACCTACCCCTTTTGGCATTAGAGACACTGAAAGCAACCCAATTGACGTAAAGAATTCAGCCAGCCTGAAGAGTTAAACCAATGTGAGAAGCTTTGGACTGGGTTTGATTTCTGATTTTCAGGCACATTTGGAGAATGAGGGTGGAGTAGCAAAGCCATTCCTTTTCCTCTCATACTGATGACAGATTTACCATTTTGAAAACTAAGGCAAAATTTATGACAAACTTTCATGAAGTTAAAACAAAGTATACACATCTGTGAGCAGAAATTAGAAGGAAAAGAAAGAAACAAAAAAGCTTCAATGTAAAAAAATGAAAATAAACTTCCCATGTTCTCAGCCTTCAACAAAAACTAGTGCCTGAGACAGAGTCAAAGAAGTTTGATTTAAAGGGATGGAATAAAAAGGGTTTGATGAAGTTTGATTTAAAGGGATGGAATAAATGATACATGTCTGAAGATTGCCTTATAAATGATTAAGCAATGCTAAAAACTTCAACTCAGAAATCAAATTCATGGGCAAATTTGCTGGATGGCATATTCCATTTTTGAAATTTATGATGGAGATAGATATCTGTTATTTTAGAATTGATCTCCATCCCAGGAGTAAGATCTTTTCTTCTGACACTTGCTGGATTTTTTGTCGGCACACTCAAGTCTTTACTATCAACTGCTGACTTTTCATTACTGTAACGTCTACTCCAAATCTTCACTGTCATCTTCCATTTGCATGCTTTGCCAAAACTGATGGGGTTTTTTCAGCACTTGCACAGAGGTAAATGGTTTTTTAGTGACTCAGTGCTCCTGCCTTTTTTGCTTTTAAAGTATTATTAAGTAGGGAATGTGATGCTTCGGTGGGAGAATACTGTGAGCAGATGAACATCTCAAATTGCTAAGTAAATATTGAAGTGTTTGTTTTTAAAATAAATGCCTGGGCAAGGCTGAAAAGTTTGGTTTAGTATTCAGAGGCACTGACAAATTGTGACCTATTCCTTTTTATAGTAACATCTTAACTAAGACTGATGTTATGCTAAATGAATGGTTTAGCAAACGTCCTGCAGCGTAATGAGTGGTCAGCTCATGCTTAAGACTTTTTAGGCATGTGAAACCTAATTAAACCATGAAGATCTGAAAAAACAGTAATTCCATTTAATTGTATTTTCAGTTTTGAAAGTTGTGGCCTCCCTTGAAGGCCCACGAATCCCCCTCTCCCGTGGTCAGACTCTGTAGAGCTCTTGCCCAGCCTCAGCTGTTGGCTCCTGCTGTGAAGCAGAAATACTCCCTTTTTGCAGGAGACTGTTGGCCCTTAGGAGGTTCTTCCCATCCCAGGTAGGTAGAGGGGACTGCTGAATTCACAGATCTAGGTGGGGGAGAAGAGGAAGCCCAAGACTTCTGCATGGTGTGGTTGAAGCCTGGGCTCTGCCCCTTGCAGCTGGAAGGAGAGTCTTTCTCTATTGTTTGCCACAGATCTGGTGCATCCCCCACAGATCGGGGACAGGGATGCCCTGGCAGCAGGTGGCAGGCAAGGGGAAGCTTTAATGACCGGTGAGTGGAGAGGGACGTCTTACACGAGCCGTAGCATGACTTAGGCAAGGGGTAAAGGAGATGGGCTCAGTCCAGAAAGGGCAAAGAGGAGGAAGAGGGAATTCGTTGCTGTTTTTGAGAATTTGCACAGCACCTCAGGGAGTATAAATTGCCCTTCTGTGTGATCTGTCGAGGGTGACCGTGCTTCTCTGCAAGATCATAAGAGCTTTGAACAGTTGTCGGTAATGCTTGTTCAGTCCTCTCTGAGACGTGGGCTGGAATACCAACAAGTCCGCTTCAGGAGTTGTGGCATGGAAAATAAATGGTGTCTGATTGCAGAAGCAGCAAAACACAACTGTGTTCTCCTGCTTTTATTGCCCAGTCTAGCTTCAAAGGAGAGATGCTCAGGTGTTAGTATTCTTAACAACTGCTCCATGTTTTTGATCAAACCTATGCACCCCCTCTCTAGTAGCCTCATCAGTAGCCATCAGTCCATATTTTGCCGGCTTGTAATGAATTTCTCAAATAAGTGGCAATCCCTTTGTAGTTGTATGGATTCAAAACTGGACTTCAGATCCATAAGAGGCAATTTTTTGAAAGCTTTTCTCCTGGGAATCACATTTGAAACTGCTCATACATGGCCATCAGTAGCACATGGTGAATCTTAGTTGTAAATACAGAAATTTAACTAGGTCGTGCTTATCAAAAGAAAGGGAGCTGTGCTTGTCCCCTCTGAACATCTGTGATGCCTTCTTGCTGGCACAGTGAGGTCTGTGCCCATTAGTTTGAGGAAAACAGAGGGTTCATAATTATGTTCGCATGATTGCAAAATGTTGCTGTCATCTATCGCACACCACTAGGATGGCTGGTAGGAACATATGATACTGTGATAGCAGTACTTGAGTAACATCTCATTTTGCTGGTCAGCCAATGTCTAGCAGGTCTTGCTTGTCCTCTTCACTTGCTGTTTAACCAGGAACACCTGTACTTAGCTATCCCCTTGTAAAAGCATGATAACAGAGTTTATTCACCTATAAAGCACTTGAATTGAATTGTCAGCTGGGGCAAATTACGTTCCCACTACTGACTTCATTGGCGTTGTTCTCATTCATGCTGGATGAACAGTCAGCAGAGGAGAGTTGTGGATGAAAGTGCAAAGTATTACTATTTTTGTTTTACCATTACATGTCTCTTGTATTTCCTTATTAAATATGTTGCAGCTTCTTATAGCTGCTGATCATTGTTGGGTTTTATTTTAGCACAAAAAAAAAGATCTCTGCCTTTGAAAGACACGAATCACAGCACTAATAAAATATCAAGCAGACACAGTACAATAGCAAGTTCATAAAAAGGAGATAAAACAGATTACATAAAATAACACGTAGTAGCTTTTAGGAATAAATGGCTATGCCTAAGTTTTAAATGATGAATCCAGAGCATGAATATTCATTGAAAGACTGAAGCAGTATGGGCTAAGGCCTATTGTGGAGACAGAGAACAGAGGAAAAAACTCTGTATTAGCCAGATGCCAAAGAGAATTGACACCCATGTTGGCTAGTTAAGGTGAATCTAAGCACAGATTAGTAGGACTATAGATGGAGTTCTGATCACACAGTCATAGCAGATTTTAATACCAGATGAAAATCTTAGATAGCACTCACAGAAAGAAGGGCAAACCCACTCAGGTGTGTAAGGAAAATGTAATGGTAGATTCTCATCCAGCTCTGTCCTTGAGGTGAGTCTAATTGGAGTCTGATGGGTTCTTCTCCTGGTTAATATTAGGCATGTAAGCTTAAATACCCAGCAGAAAAGAAGGTCCTTGGCACCAAGACATGAGGAAGAATTAGGAAAGGCAGACCTATAATGGAGGCTTGTGGCCAACTGTGAATTATTAGCAAGTTACAGACAATGTCAGGGACTCCAGGAGAAGTAGCTGTAAAGTAGGCATCAAACCCAAGACCTGCCTGACCCTGGCTGTCAAGATCGTTAGGACTCAGTCCTCTACTACAGGTTAAAGGGATTAAAAAGGTAGAAGCAGCAGTACTATTAAAGGAAATAGTTCAGTACGCAGTGGGGAAGCTAATTCTCTCCCTCTTGGTCTTAACCAAGATCAAAAATAATTAAATAAAGGGAAGAAATTTAAGGTGGTATATCTTCCGTCAGGACTGCAGAGAGTTGGGATGACGTGGTAAAATAGACCAGAAGAGGTAGAGGTTTTCAGAGCAACACAGAAAATTCAGAAATGCAATGTGCATTTATTTAAATGGTGTCCGTATGGTTGCCTTCTCTTTGCTGCTTTGAAAAGCTTAATCACTAGTTTTAAAGAAATTTGGCAGTCATAGACCCCTGTACACCACAACACAAGAATATCATGGGATCCTGGACAAATTCAAATAAAGCCGACTGTTTCTCAGTCGAATACTGTGAATTTCAATTTGACTACTGCTAATAGAGCTGGCCTTTATAGTGTTTTTTCAGCCCTGATTTTTAGTTTTGCATCAAGTATCAACCAGGCAGAATTACACTTAACAAAGGAAAAGCTGCCTTTTCATTTCTACACTGTATTTTACAAGTTTAGCTTTGGCTGTATGTGTTAAAGTGATGTGGGTTTGGGTTTGCTGGTAGCCCAGATCTGAACCACTGTCTCATTGCTCATGGTTGAATTAATGATGCGAATGTCTAAGAAGCCATCAGATTCATAAATCACCAGAAATGAGAGGGATAACTCATAAAAGTCTTTTCCTTTTGTTTAGCAATTTATCATTTTGCTTGCACATTAATAAACAGAGCTCCCCTGAGGTAAGCCACAGAAAGATAGATTTTTCTTCCTAATTTTCCTCAATCGTAGCCAGTAGATCACAAGTGGAGAGAGTGGGCTTGTCACAGCGTGTTGGTGTCTTGCAACTCCCTCTACCCATCACTGATAACAAATAAATGTGATTAAGTACCCTGGTGGATAATTATTTGTGTTTACATAACAGGCGCCAGGTTTCCGAGTCCGAGATTGTCAGCTAGACCAAGCCGAAAGCGTACGTTGTCCATATCCCCCCTATCTGATCACAGCTTTGACCTTCAGACCATGATACGGACATCTCCAAATTCCTTGGTCACAATTCTCAATAATTCTCGTAGCAGTTCCTCAGCCAGTGGTTCTTATGGCCACTTATCTGCAAGTGCAATAAGGTAAGCATTTTCTACCTATATTGTATATTTTCATTTATGTGTCATACACACACGCAAATATGAATGTATACTCACATCTTTAAGTAACTGTTTTGTTTTGTGAATATGTGTATTTTGCAGTTTCTATAATTTATGTTCACTGGAGCTTAATTGAAAGTACAAAATACTTTTTCTTTCTCAGAAAGGTAGCCACAAGGGACTTGTTGGCATATTATTGTCCTGTGCAGGTAATACTCTATCTGACCAGCGGTTATGGTGTGTGTATATGTGCTCAGGAATCTGTTTTCAGAGATGAAGCTCTAGGATAGGTTTGTGACTTAAGTCACTTGGGTTCTTTTGGCCGTAGATATAATGGACAGTGAAATGTTCCTACATTATAATCATCAGAGAGTAAAGCACAAACACGTGGTACTGTTAAATTAAAATGTTTGGCTAGAACTTCTTGGTATTCATCTCCATATTTTAGTTCGTATATGGAAAGATTAGACTTTCTGTGACTAAACTATCTTTTTTTTTGTACCAAGGAAGTACTGTTATCATCCAGTATCATCAGAAATGCTGTGATTTTCACTTGGCTGCTTCACTTGCGTGCACAAGAAAACAGCCAAAAACAGTTGTTCTGGAGACAGAAGAGCAGAGGGTAGGCAAAAGTTGTACAGGAAAGTAAAGCAAACAGGGCACAGGGAGAGGGAACAAACCCAAGAATGTTCAAAAAAGGGAGTGGAAAAAAATGAAGAAAAACAGCAGAAAAAAATGGAGATGCAACTGCAGAACATTCTTATATTTGTGACATTGCTATACGTTAACTGAGAAAAGTTTCTTTGCTATTCCAAAAAAAAAAAAAACCACCTCTGCAAAGTCTCAGGAAATATTTGGTTTGCATTTATGGCACTCAGATAAGGAGTGCTGCTGGTCCCTGGCTTAAAAGCAACCTCCACCTTCGATTTGCAATGAGGCAAAGGAGCAAGTCCCCACAGCAGTTTCTTGAGATCTAAAAGACCCATTCTTGGCAAGGCTCAAACATCCCTCTCCAGAAAAAATGACACACTTACAACTTCAAAAACTGGCTATGAGGATTTGAACTTTTGGAGAAAATGGGGCATGCAACTGGTGTGTTAGAAACCATGAAGCTGCCAAACTTTGAAAGTGACAGCACTGTAAATATTTGGTATTAGTATAAGTGCTGTTGGGGTTTTTTTAAGCACTTCTTTTAAATAGTTGTGCGTCATAGCTCTGATGTACTTCACTAGGTGTATAATATTTCATAGGTATGATATCATAGCTCTGCAACACAACTCTGCAATCTGTGTAACCGTGATCCCAATTATGAAGCTTCATAACGTGGAATATGATTTATGTCAATAGCTGGCAGCAGTTTTGGACCACATCTGTTAAATACATATACTATGTGGAGGTGTACTATCCCCACTGTTGTTAAGATGGGATGGCACTTCAATTACTAACCTCCTTTTCCATTGCTTGTAACTTTGGTAAAGCAAATAGTGCATGAAAGTTGGCATAGTCTCTGCAGTGGAGTAAGTCTTGCCTCCTTTTACTCTTCCTCCACAGCTGGAAATGGTTGGTATATGTTTTTGACACAGAATCACAAACGTAAGGGCCATCCCTGCAAAGCTGGAGACAGATGAATAGTTTTGTTGAAGACAGTTGTGGAACTGGAGTGAGTTACGGGCAGAGACTGAGTAAGGATGCTAAGGAGTAGAACAGTGAATCTTGTGAACTGCTGTCACTGCAGAAAGCAAGGCTTGTGGGACTGAGCCTATGGTTGACGAAGCTGTCAGCACTTCCTGGTCATACTTACCAGGAATGCATAAACCAGAAATTCACACCATTTTGAATTAATTTTATTTTTTTTGTAAGAGTATGCCTGCTCAACATGAAAAGTTGGAAACGTACATCTCCATTCTTTCTGGTGGAAAGGAACAGAGCTAGCTCTTTTTCCAGCTTTGCAGCTCACCTCTGTTGGTGCCTTTTAACTTCTCACATGTGCACCTGTCCGTAAAAGTTACACCAAAATAAACAGTGACGTAAGGTATTAAACCCAGGCCACACTTCATTGCTTTAATAAATTCCAAGACGAAATAGCAATAAGACTATCTGTAAAACTTAATTTCTTGCAATTCACTGTCTTGTAAATAATGCATCCGGCACAAGAACTTCTGTACTGAATCAAACCGTAGGTTCATCCCATTTAATACCCTGACTGCAACAGTGATCAAAGTGTAGAAAAAACTTTTCCTCGTGTAAAATCCCAGCTTCCGGAAATTTGCAGGTTAATATCGTAGGAGTTGCTGCAAGAAAAATGGTACAGTTAAAAAAAAAAACTCGATGGAATTGTGAGACAAGAAGGATTTGTATTTTAGGCAGCATCAGTAGCATTAACTGTACTTAACATTATCCAATCCTTCTACTTTTAGATCTTGTTTCCAGTCACTTTTAACTTCGCCCAAATAGTTCACACTTGGCAGCATTTTTCATAGCAGATACCTACCTACTGCTGCATATTTCCCTAAAGCGCTTGCAAAGTTATTAATTTATGAGAATGAAGTTAGGGAAGAAGAGACTTTTCTGTACAAACTAAAAGACCTTTTCCTACCTTTTCACCAAGAACTTAAAATTTGACAGGGATGTTGCCTAGATGCTATAGGTAAGATTTTTGCCATTCTTGAGAAATCGTTCCATTCAACCAAGTGATAAGCCCTAAAGAGGTTTCTATTAGCATGTGTTAAATAGACTAAGTAATTCAGCATGTTCCAGTCCAGGGCCCATAGAAAGGAAGGAGGACCTTCCCCTGAAGCTGCGGCTCTGGTTAATCTGGTACATCCTTAGGAAGCTTGTGGAGGCTAAGCTCTCTGCCCAGCTATAACAGCCTTGCCTGAACATGAGAAAAAAGCAGTCTTCAGAAGAGACAGGAGTCAGACCAGGACCTGTCCAGGTTAAGCAAGCTGGGACAAAATGCTTTTATGTAACACAACATAGCTGGTGAGGTGTCTAGAGAGCAAGTCTTCTGAGGAGTGGCTGAGGGAACTGGGCTTGTTTAGTCTGGAGAAAAGGAGGCTCAGAGGAGACCTTACCGCTTTCTACAACTACTTGAAAGGAGGTTGTAGCGGGGGGGATGTTACTTTTTCCCGAGTAACAAGTGATAGGACAAGAGGAAATGGCCTCAAGTTGCACCAGGGAAGGTTTAAATTGGTTATTAGGAAAAAATTCTGCACCAAAAGTGTTATCAAGCATTGGAACACGCTGCCCAGCGAAGTGGTTGAATCACCATCCCTGGAGGATTTAAAAGACCTCTAGATGTGGTGCTTAGGGACATGGTTTAGTGGTGCACTTGGCAGTCTTAGGTTTATGGTTGGACTTGATCTTAAAGGTCTTTTCCAACCTAAATGAATCTATGATTCTATAGGATTTCTCTAGAAGAGAGAAAAAGCTACAAAATAAAGCATGCAGAAGCCAGTCATTAAGGAGAATGAAGGTACTGCCCCCTTGTGATTGTGCTTTGATACCATCTTTAATTTCAGGGTTGCACAGTATTTTTTCACAGGGCCCCTACCTGCTTCAGTGCACAGGCTGAACATCCTTTTGATCAGTCGGAGCCACAGGACCCTACCTCACCTCTCCCAGGCAGCTGTAAAAGAGGAAGGAGCCTCTTACCTGTTTGCTGCCTGGAGGGCAGACCCTGCTCTTGCAGCAAAATCCCAGCCTGATGCTGGGCAAACAGAACTAGTCAGAAGTGACCACCAGGCTCATACAGTTTCTCTTCTGGAGGCCCAGCCTAACACTCTTATTTCTGCAGAGGAGCCGAATTGCTCACAGCCATGGCTTGAAGCTTCCCAACAGCTGTTTTGAACATTTAATGTGCTGTGTTAACTAGCACCGGAGATCTGGGGGAGTTGGGGCTGTTCAGCCTGCGGAAGAGAAGGCTCCTGAGGGACCTTATAGCCCCTTCCAGCACCTTAAAGGGGACTACAGGAAAGATGGGGAGGGACTCTTTTATCAGGGGGTGTAGTGATAGGACGAGGGGTAATGGTTTTAAACTGAAAGAGGGCAGATTTAGATTAGGTATTAGGAAGAAATTCTTTACTGTCAGGGTGGTGAGACACTGGCACAGGTTGCTGAGAGAAGTTGTGGATGCCCCATCCCTGGAAGTGGTCAAGGCCAGGCTGGATGGGGCTTTGAGCAATCTGGTCTAGGGGAAGGTGTCCCTGCCCAGGGCAGGGGGTTTGGAACTAAATGATCTTTAAGGTCCCTTCCAATCCAAATCATTCTATGATTCTGTGATCCTAAGATTCTATGTCTGAAATTGGGCAACCACAATAAGTGGCACTTTTTACCTTAATCTTTCTTTGATTCAAATGCCTGTGCAAAACAAGAGTCCTTCCCCTTCACCTCAGAGGGAGGTCGAAAGCATTAATGTTTTGTGAAGCACTTAGAGTGTACAATGATGAGCACAGTAGAGAAGCTCAGGAGGGTGTCAGGAGGGTATCAGTAATTATGTCTTCATCGAAGGTTTAAATACAATGGGAGGAGGGCCTATGGGCAAGGAGAAGAAAAATTCCAGAGAGTTTCTCACTGAAGACTATCGTGTATCTTGTGCACTGAATGAGGTATGAATCCTGCAGGGGGAAAAAAGGTGTGTGGTCATATAATTAAAGGCTGATGAGGGAGCACACGACAGCATGGGAGGTTTAATTCTAGCGTGTTTGATTTTGCAGGCTCAATGCTGTCTTAACCTATTTTTGCAGAGGTGCTACTTGTGTTAAGGAAGTGTCTCCAGGACCTGACTGGTTCTATGCATTGGCTAAAAAAAGTACATCCTCTGGCTGAAAGATTACAACCCGTGCTTCACACAGCTTTTCAGCATAGGACTCTTTATATGGGCACTGTAGGATGTTGAGGATGAAATCAAATGAAAGGAGTCACATTTTGGGCTGTGTTTTTACAGAGCCGAGCACAGAAGGGCTCTGGTCCTTGACACGGGT